TATGGAGCTAGGCTAGTGCCCTGAGCTGGAGGACCCATGTGGAGACCCCTGCCGGTGTTGAGATGCTTACAATGCCACTGGATCCACAAGTCTGAAGAGGAATTTGTAGATTGGTATCAGACATATGGGTTAATATCAGATTATGGGCTGGGCTGTGGTGTTTTCTCAATATTCCATTGCTCTTGTGTATAAAACTCTTTCTTATACACAAATGAGCGTCTATCATTTTGTTTCACTAGTCAACCCAGACTACCACAACTCTTATGTGTGTAAGCCAGAACTTTATATCAAGAAGTAATTTGCATCAATAAAACATTCCAGCCCAGTCCAGATCAAGTCCATAAGTTCAATACTAGCCCATATGTCTGATATTAGTCCATGAATTCCTCTTCAGACTCACACAGCACATGAAATGATGCCGAATGCAGGAAAATCACAGGTCAGTGGGTGGAAAGTCCTGGGGCTCCAATGGCGGTGGAAAACATCTCCAGGGCTCTGGATGCCATCAGCGTGACCCCATGTGGCTTGTCAACAGGAATGTGAAGCAGAGAAAGAGAGAGAGGCCCACCTCTTCTGATGGCAGAATCAAGAGAGGAAGAAACCTCGTGAGAAGGCCACGCCCACCAGGAGGAATCATCAGGCTATGACTTGACTGACAGGCTGGACTCCACCCCTAGAATCTTTTATCAAGTTGACATGCAATTGTGTAACTACCACAAGGGCTAAGGTGTTCCTGGCACAAACCATGGTATCTTCAATGGCCTCATATGCATATGAAAGCCGGACAATGAATAAGGAAGACTGGAGAAAGGTTGATACATTTGAATTATGTGTTGACTAAGAATGGTCAATGTATCATGGACTATGAGAAGAACAAACATCTATCTAGGGGGGAAAATAGCCAGGATGCTCCTTGGATGCAAAGATAACAAGCTATCATCTCATGTACTTCTGACACGTTATTAGGGGAGACTAGTTCCAGAAAAGAACAACCTGCTGGGTATAAACTCACGGCATCGAGTTGATTCTGACCCATAGTGACCCTAAAAGGAAGGGTGGAACTGCACTGTGGGTTTTCAAGACTAACTCTATAGGAGTAGAAAGTCTCATCTTTCACCTGAGTAGTAGCTGATGATTTAGAATGGCTGACCTGGTGCTTAGCAGCCCAACGTGTAACCCACTGAGCCACTGCTTGGTAGAGGATCAGTGACAAAGAGGAAGACCCTTGATGAAGTGGGTTGACACAACAGCTACAACAATGATCCCATAGTTGTACCGGTCAATCGTTGTGGAGATGGCTGAGGACCAAACAGTGCTTCATTCTGCTGTGCATGGGGTTTCTATGCATTGAACTGACTAGATGCCACTTAACAACAAATAGAAAGATATCTGAGACTTTTTAGTAATTTGTTCTTTTCTTGATTCATTCACTCAATAAATAGTTATCACACATCTTATACTGTATGTGCCAATCACTTGTTTGATACTGGGAAATAGTGGGGTGAATGATATCTCTCTGTCTTCATGAAACTTATATTGTAGATGATGAAATCGGTTATAAAGAAGTAAAGAAATCACATAGACTATAAAATTAGATAGTAATAAATGCTGAGGTGAGAGACAGAGCAAGGTAAGGGGATAGACAATGATGGGGTGGTCAGAAAGAAGGCCTTGTTGAAGGAGAGATGACGTTTGGGTAGACACCTTATTGAAGAAGCTCTCTAGCCATGCAAAGAAGCCTTGATAAAATCGACAGCCAGTGCAGGGTCCCCAGGAGAAGAAGTACATGTTGGGATTGCAGAGTAAGAAACTAGGTTGTCTAACATGAAGAGGGTGACGGGAAAGTGGAGACAGATGCATATCTCAAGTTCAGCATCAGAAAACAATCTTTCCTCTCCTCCAAACCAAACTGTGAATCTTCTGTACAGAAGATGGTGTACTGACGGTGTACAGTCAGACTGTCCCCAAATAGCTTTTATCTAACAGGACACCTAAGCCATAGGCAATGTGTGTCAGTCTGGGTTCTCCAGAGAAGCAAAACCAGTGATGTTAAAAATGTATATATTGGGGGGGAAAATGGACTTAAGCAAACGCTTCAGGTCCACAGGCCATATGGACCTGAAATTCTGAACTTGTGCAGCTTTGGGGGGTGATGGATGCAAAATCAGCAGGAACACTCTGGGCTGCAGAGGAGGAGGAAGACAAGTTCCTCAGGTCAGGCTTGTGACCGGAGAGGCAGTTATTCCAAGGCTGGCAGGTCAGAAGGCGGATCAGACGACAGGTTGCTGATGGCTCCTAGGATGGATAAGCAATATGGCAGGCCAGTGTCTCAGGTCCAAAGAACTGGAGGTTGATGAGCCAGGTGCAATCCCGAGCCAGCAAAACCAGAGTAACCTTTCCCACGGTGTCTACCACGCCCCTGAGGAACCCTCCTTTCACTGCGTCATGGCTGTGACCTGAATACAGCGGTTGCATTCTACCTTAATATTCTTACGACCTTTGGGCTGCTCACAGCCTGACCTGTCATGGAGTTGATGAGATTATGTAGAGACACGTAATGGGGGATTTGTAGGCCAAACCACGGAGGATTCTGGTCCAGCCAAGTTGACACAAAGCCCAACTATCACTCTGGCTATGGACTACAAATTAATCACAGGAAACCTAGGATGTATAGAATGAGAAGATTTGAAGTAAGAATTGTGCTTTGTAGGGAGAAATGACTAAGAAGTGAGACAAGATAAAATGCAAAATACAATCTTCGAAAAGATAGCAACGTGAACAAAGGTTTCTGGCACTGTCTCTACTAATCCTTAGTGAAATGTTTGGTGGAGAACATTCTTGGCCTCTGTCTGCAAAATATACTCAGATATTGATAATTTTGTTGTTGCTGATTACAGCTCTAGTAAATTACAGCTGGAATATGTTAAAACTTTAATTTATCATCATCATCATCATCATCATCATAGAGCTCAAAATGAGCATAGTACTGTATCTCTTGGTATTTCTAGTTAGTATTTGGAAGAATGCTTTTAAGAATTGGTCCCAAGTCGTGGACAAGGTAATTTCCTCTATCATTTCTTAGGGGAAAGGGTTGAGAATAATAATAATGGTAATATTTTATATTTGATGAGTAATAGGTGACAGAATATTTTATATCTATTAAGTAGACTAGAAGCTATGCTCATACTGCGTTTTAGATAGCGCACTCAGGCACCACAGAAGGTTAAGGGTCAAGTCTTCAGTAGAAGACCCTGGCCCTGCACTCACACTCTGTCACTCTATGAATGGTGCCAGTCGCTTTGACAAGCTGCTCGGTTAAAAGGCAACCAATTGCCCCCCTCCTTTTGTCCCCCTTCAATGACACCCCTGCTGTGAGCACATTCTCTGCCTTTCTGTCTCTCCGTAGATCCAGCAATGTGTTCCTCTGTCTATTCCTCTCCGGGACACATAGACAGTGGTTTATTGGTCCCTAAGTTTTACAGAGTTGAATCATACTGTGCACATTACTTTAAATGTTTAACCATATGCCAGGGTCATACTTCTAGTTCAATGCATTTAGTTATAATTCTTTTTTTTTTTTTTTTGGCATGGCTGTATTGTTTGATTTGTTTTAGGGACTATCTATTTATTTTTAAAGGAACATCCAATAGTATATGTATGCAGTAAATGACATGAGGGCCATATCTGACCTCCTCTGGCCTCCCAATGGCCACGAGGCAGGGACCTGACACACCTCCACATTCTACCCTTGTGTACCTGCTCTGAAACCACACACCACCCGTTCTTCCCACGGCACTCTACAGTGCTGAATTAGACAGCTCTTTGCAATGATGACACAACTCACATACAGTACTCACGATTAAGGGAGTTTATTCGAGAAGTTAATCCAAAACATTCAAACTCATTACCATCAAGTCAATGTTGACTCATAGGGACTCCTCTGTGGGTTTCTGAAATTGCAAATCTTTAGGGAAGTAAAAAGCTCAGTCTTTCTCTCTCGGGGCTGCTAGTGATTTCGAACTGCTTGCAGTTTGAAGATTGCACAGTTCGAGCGCAACACATAACCCCTATACCACCAAGGCTCCCCAGAGGATTCAATAGGTTACCACCAGTCAGAGGCAGCAGGCAGTAAGGATATAGTCACTGGTCCACAGCAATACCTCTCCTTACTCAGCAGCCAAGTCTCCCTCCGGGCCTCAATCTCTCAGCCCTGTTTCTTGGCTTCGGCTTTTGTGGGCCAGGAAGTCAACCTCTGTGTCCTTCTGTCTCGTTGTCCCATAGTTTTGGGCTCAATGAGGAGGAAGTAGCTGTAGTCGCAGTGCTGCTCCTCTGCATCTCCCTGGCAGTCTCGGGCGCATCTGGGTCTCGTGGCTTGTGCCACTTCAGCCAGAGGCCTTGGACGTGCTTTTTTCAAACGGTCCTATCGTTTCTCTTGGTGTTCCAGATGGCTCTTAAGTATTGAGAGATGGCTTTGAGGAAGGGGTGGTCTGTGTTTTAGCCCACCAGACCCCCCAGGAAAATGAAGGATGATGCTACTAGAGAGTTACACTCTCTAGTAGAGTATTAAAGATGCCACAAGGAAACGAAGGGTGAGATTTGATGCACATGCTCTAAGGTCAGACATAACCCAACGTTAACCCTGCAACCACAGAACTCCCTCCAAAGAGGGAACATAGGCACGGAGGCCAGCATTCTGCTCCGTCACCGAGGGAGTTGTGGCTGGAAGGGCTGTGTCAACGGACTAACTCTCAGTTAAAAACGCAGTGCCAATATATCCTCTCACATATTAACAAGATAGTTACTTTATAATATACAAGTTTCTTGATTGGCAATGCTATGGAAGCCTAGGTTTCCTCTCTCGGTTCGCTGCACGATTTTTTGCTTTGCTTGCTCACTTGTCACGTGTGTTTTTTTTCCCTTCTCAATTTCCCTTGGAATGAAAATAAATGACAGCCTCCGTTAATGTTTTATAGTCTAAGTAAATCCAATGTGTTTTTCAGGTTATTATATCCGGGAAAAGTCTAAGCAAGTCATCAGCTTGCTGATGGACGAACAGCTGCTGTATAAAGAGAGGGAAGTAGCCTGTCGAACAAGGCGGCGTACCTCCTACTCTATGGCATTTCCCCAAAACCTACCTGCTATGGGCAACTCACCAACGTCGTGTGCCTCGGCCCCCACTCCAGAAACTCCTGCTTTCCAGAGCAAGCGTAAGCTCCTTAAGGCGGCTCGGCTACGTCATAAAAGTACGTATAATAAACACTGGCCTGATGGGTGCAATGGGTGTCATTTAAGAACAATGAAATTATCAGCATGTTCCTCTGTAGTGCTACATTAAGACTGTATCAGTGCTAGTCTTACTACACGAGACGTTACTGGAGAGAACAAAGACGACAATGAATAGTCTGCAGGAGATTTCAAGACTAGGTTCTGAATAAAAATAGTTGGACCTTGAGAGGTACTGGGTGAGTGACTATCCTGTTGGGCAGCAGGGTTTGAATTTCTTGTATTTTAACCATAAAATTAGTTTTGGAGCTCAGGGGTCTGGGTCGATGTGCATCTGCCCTAAACATCAAGAAATGGAAATGGTCTAAAATGTGTATCCGAATCTGAAAAGGATTCTCACATTCTCCTAGGGCAATACCTTGAGTCACATAACCTTTTCCCTAGCCCAAACTTTTCATCTGCACTCTCGAACTTTTATTTCTAAAGTTGTAATAGAAATCAGCAGAAAAATGGAAAGATCTTTCCCACCAAATTTGCTTCAACAGAAAACCAGGTCATTAAGCCCTTGTTTCTCCAGTCCAAACTCCGTTGATCAGTTTGTGGGTCAGGAATGAACCACTTGAACAGCTAGAGCACTGGGGAACTGTGACGAGATCGCTCTCCCGGGTCATGAATTTCTCCACGGACGTGTTGGGCCATGGTGGTGAGTGCGGGGCCCAACACCCCATTGCTGTGGTGCCGATCCTGACTCCGAGCAACCGGTAGGACAGCAGGGAACTGCACGGGGAGCATTTTCACGGCTGTAATCTTGATAGGAGCAGATGGCCACAGTGCTGTCTCCGGAACGGCCGGTGGATTTGAACTGCCTGCCTTTCAATTCATAGCCCAGCACTTAACCAGGTGCTGCCATGGCAGCAGAGGGCTATTGCAGTTACAGCGGGTTCTCGCGCTTGCCCCCTGGCTTTCTCGGGGACTCCACTGGGAGTTGCTGAAAGAGCAGAAAGCCAGCATGAATCGATGAATTCCCGACAGTTCACTGTGGAAATGAAAAATGTCAATAATTGATACCAACACTGACGGAGCATGCTTAAAATTAGTAAAGCACTTCTCCAATTCAGTCAAGAATGTCCTGCTGTTCACTCCATTTATACCTGGTGGGCCACCGGGGACATGAAAGGACAGTAAAGTGGCCATTGTAAATACAGCAGTTAACTACCACCGGAGTGCTTTCTGAAAGCAGCCAATCGCTTTCTTTGGCTCCTAGGCCCAAGGACAGGCCTATTGCTTTAGAACTGAACCTCCCAAAGCACAGAGACGTGTTTTAAGCCTTCTCCTGGAGGTCTTGAACTGAAACCGACTCTGGAAACAACAGAGAAGTACCCGTGAGAACTAGCCCCGGGTCTCTCTACCCCGGCTTCCCTCCTTCCCTTCCCTTTCTGCCCCTCCTCCTTTCTTCGCCCTCCTCTCCTCTTCTGCTTTCATTTTAATATACAATTCTTGCGCTTTAATATGGGGAATTTGACCTTGTAGCAGAAATGAAGTAATCTTCGCCATACTGATCACATTTTCCTGAAGGCGTTTTAATCTGAAAGTGCATTTGAAAGGAAGAAAGCAAGCTGACCGTTGGTAGAAATAGAAGCTGGGGAAGTAAATCAGGGCCGGTGGGGCGGGCAGTCTTCGGGGGAGAGGAGAATTGGCCCAGAAACGCTTGGAGATGGATGAACCAGTGAGAAGTCATTGCATCCACAAGTAGTAGTAGAGGCCGTACAAAAGCGAAAGCTTAAACATGCGAGGAGTTTATTTCCCTCTTCTGAAAATCACCCACAGCGAGATATTTTTGGGCTTCTCCGGCTCTTCACAATGACAGGGACCCAAGCCTTTTTTCCCTGCCTCGTTGCCCAGCCAGACTCAGCGTGTGACATTCACTTGAGGATTCCATTGGCATTCTAGCTAGGACATCTGAGTTCCCCTCCCCTTTCTGGAAACTTCCTGAGAGTTGCTCTTAGCCAGCTGGCCTACATCTATCCCAGTCTTTTAGCTCTTGGTCACATGGACACACAGATGCAATTGTGTGTCCTCTGTACTGTGGGCTGGGAATTGCCCTCTTCATTCTGGGTAGTTCAGATAAAAGTTAGAGATTCTATTGTTAAGGAAGAAGGGGAGAATAACTACAGGAGCAACAAAAGCTCCTTGCCCCGGTGGGAAAGGCGACAACCTGGAAATGGATTCGCATGGTCATACACAGTTGCCTGACGGGCTGGATTAGAGAGCATGGATTTGCGTACACAGAGAGATGTGGGCAGACAGGCCCTCCTAGCCAAGACGATGCAATAAACAGTATCTGGAAATTTCACTTAGATATGCGTAGCAACAGGGGCCCATCATAGGCTTTGGAGAACAGAAGGGATGTTTAGCTCAGTCACGGAGTTTCGCTTTCTTATTACGCAAAACAGCTGTTGGTGGAAGATAATCCCTCATGCTTTGTATAGAAACGAAGGAGAATCCAACCTTCGGGAGGCTTTCTAAGAGGCTGTTTCAATCCAGGCAACCAAGGAGAGTCTTCTCTCCGGTTGTGGAGAGGAGGAAAGGCACTGTTTTAAGATAGAAAGTAGGGGAGGGAGCGGTGTCTGTGAGTGATGCCGTGGAGAAGAAGGAAAGCGCTGGAAAAGGATTAACATTCTGAGTCGGAGAAAGCAGAGGCACGCGATGGTACCCTACAGGTAAATTTCCATCAGAAGGAACTTACAACCACCATCTCTAAGTGATTTTGTTGTAATGAAATGTACAATTGAATACCTTGCTAGAAATCGGACCCCCAGGCTTTAGAATCTAGAGCTGAAACAGCTGTGCCTGGTGTCTTGGTGGTAAATTAGCCAGAGAAAAAGAGGTGCTGTACTTTAGAAGAGGTGTTGTGCACACAGCCCCATGTCAACGCCTTTTCTCCCCATTCCCGGGTATCTTCACCCCAGTTTATGCTTAGTGGATTGCATGCGTGGTTTTGGTTTAGACAAGTTCGACGTTGGAAGGAAGAGATGAGATGAAGGATACTTGCTGCTCGGTTTTTGAAAATTTAAGAATAAACAAATTTACCAAAAAATAATAATTTCTTTAAAAACAACAACTTTTTATTGTGAATTAGGTGAAGGTTTACGGAGCAGATCATCAGTTTTACATTCAAATGTCCATACACATTTGGTTTCAACCCCTCCCTTGAGATCCCCTCCACGTACCATCACTAGGCCGACAGCCTCCCTGTGTTTCTTGGATCCAGCCTGCCTGCTTTCCTGACCTCCTATACTTCGTCATTGGGTAAATACCATCCTTTTGATCTCAAGTGATTGATTATTCTAAAGTGTGCATATCTCACTAGCTGTTCCCCATGTAGACCTGTCCATTGTGTGGCTGAAACCTGAGCAAGGAGTTCCATTCCAGACCTGAAGGGTGACTAAGAGCCATCGTCTTGGGGGCCCCATCAGTCTCTATCAGGCCAGTGAGCCTGGCCTCTTTTACAACTTTGGGTTTTGATCCACATTTTTCTCCCATGCTACCCAAGACCTCCTTATGTAATTCTTCTCAGAGCAGTTGGTAGAGGTAGCTGGGCACTATCTAGATCTTCTGGTCTCAGGGTCATGGAGGCTGATGTTAAAATAGCTGCCTCCAGTATACTGGTTCCCCCCTTGCTTTCTTAAACAATACAGACTCATTATAAAGAAGCAACCTATTCTAATCCCATCACTCAGAAAGACTCATCATTAATAGTAGTTAATTAATTTGTAAGCTAGTGTCACATCAGCTCTGAGTCATGGTGACCCCTGGTGTAACAGAATGAGATGCCAGTCTTCGTTATATTGTGGCTGCTCTGTGAATCCATCTCCCTGAGGGCTTCTCCCCTTTACTTTACCAAACATGATGTCCTTTGGTAGGGATTGGGCCTTCCAGATGATGTGTCCATCGTGAGTTAAAGTCCTGACTTCCTTGCTTCTAAGAAACATTCTGAGTCTATCTTTCCTAAGACTGATTTGCTCATTTCTTAGCCTCGCTATGATGGATAGTTTGAATATCAGATTGATAAGAAACATCACAGGGCTCCCCAGTTCTGCTTTTGGGGCATTATCTGAGCAGTACAGGCCCAACGAGATCCACAACTTCTCTTAGATAGTTTCTACCGAGTATTTGCAGCCTGGGTATCGAAGTGCTCATCATAGATGACTCAGTAGCATCCCTTCCGGCAGCACCTCCCCTGCTTCCTTTGAGGTTTCTCATTTACATACTAGCCCCCTCCGGATGCCCCTTCAGGTGCAATTGATAGATAGCGTTTGCTACCAGAAGGAGAACTTTCCAGTTACAGTTGTAACTTTTCATTTTGCTGTAATGTCACCCAACACGGAGTCATTAAAATGAACTTGTTTTAGCCAGAGGGAGTCTTCCTTAATTCTGGTCAACCGTGGTAATTAGAGACTGCCACCATCCGTCTCCCTTCACCTGATTTATGAAGGACCCACATTCTCCACTGCCCTTTCAGCATTGAGCAATCAAATGGTCTTGAAGTCATTCAGCTTTAGGTGTAAGGCATCACAACCTAGCATTAGTAAAAATTTCAGGAAGTCTCTTTTTAAGTACATTGTGAGCAAATTGAATAATGGAAACATTGTGAGAAGGGAAAAGTTGTGCATATTAAGAAATGTCTCTTGGCCAAGAAAAGCTAAAATCTCACAGTTCTCTTTTAAAGTATCTTATGAAAGAAGAGAAAAAAGATTCATTATTGTTGTTGATTTTAAGTACCACCCAGCACCACGTGGAGGTGTGGTGTGCTTAATGCAACTACTAAATTAAGTGAGCGCTCAGTATTTACCGATGGGAATGTTCATAAGCATGTGGAAGGGGAGGACACACATTCCTGGGTAGTTTTGGCATGTAGCATGCTTGTTCCTTTCGGCCCAGAGTTCTTTCTGCTTGGAAGGATTTCTCCAGCTTCTACACGGACAAGTGTTCTAAGAGTCCACAGTGACCAGCAACAGCA